AGTTCTCATCTGCCTTTCCTCTGCGGTTTCCCTGTTGTTATACATTCTCTCTGCCACTGCAACTAAGTCCTGAATACTCTTTTCTCCTAATCTGTCTACTTTCTGTAACTTTCTTTTAATATCTGGCATCGCCTGGTTGACAAAATGTATTATTACAGTTGCCTTTGTCTCATTTGCTTCTGGGTCCATAGGAGTATACCTACGGAATGCTTTCTGAATTCTTCCTAGGAAGGCTGCAGGGCTCTCGTTTGGTCCCTCTTGTACATCCCCTATCTTAGTGAAATTGGTGGGCTTTCGAGCAGCCACTTTGAGACCTTCCAACAGAGCCTGGTGATAGACCCAGAGCCTCTCCTTACCTTCTGCTGTGTTGAAGTCCCAATTGGGCCAGGACAAAGGAAAAGAAGTGTTGATAGTGTCAACATTAGTGGTGGGTTGACCACTGTCACCAGGAACCAATTTCCTGGCTTCATTTTGGATTCTCTCTCACTCCATTGTGGTAAACAGGATCTGGAGGAGCTGCTGACAATCATCCCAAGTGGGCTGATGAGTAAACAAAACAGTTTCTAATAGACTAATCAAATCCCTAGGGTTATCAGAGAATTTGGCATGTTGAGTACGCCAGTTATAAAGGTCACTGGTGGCGAAGGGCCAGTAATGATGAGGCTGGTTACCATGCTCATCAGGGGGCCCTATCGCTCTCAGTGGGAAAACAGTAGAGTCCACCGGCCCTGCTGGTGAGATGGCACGCCAGTGGTGAGTGTTCAGGGCGAGGCCATCCCCGCTGCCAGCACCCGGTGCCAGGCCTCCCTCCCCAGCTCCAGCTGGGGTCGGGACCTCTCCTCCTGCCTGTTGTTGCAGGGGAGTGGTGTGAAGATGGTAAGGGGGGGTAAGGAGATCTTCCTTGGTTCCTCCTTGGAGGACCGGGTAGAGCGGCGTGGTTGGCTCAGTTTCAGTTTGCCTTTTCCCATCGCGCTCTCTGGGAGTCTTCTCACAGGCTGTCAGGATTACCTCCAGCTGCTCTTTCTGTGGAGGCAAAAAAGGGCTTGACCCATGGGGGTGGGTCACAGATTAGACTCTCCCAAGTGACAATGTAGGGAACCTGATCAGGATGTCTGGTATAGGGATGGAAAACAGCTCCGCGGACCTTGCGTATGACCTGTAAATCAAAAGTTCCCTCGGGGGGCCATCCCTTCTCAAAGGAAGGCCACTCCAAACTACACAGAATGACAAGTCTGGACTTTTTTTATTTCTAACTTTAGACTATGAGCATGCTCTCTAACCTCTCTAAAATGGTCTGTCATGAGGGACAGGGGGGTGGTCGCAGTCTGTCCCATCATCTCAGTCCAAGTCTCCACAATAAACAGACAAACAAACACAACAGAAAAACAAAAAGCAAGACAAAACCATCCTCCGCCCGATCGGAGGCAATACCGAAAATGGGACGACGGCCTCAGGCCATACCACAGGAGCGACCCGCACCGTCCCCCTAGGAGTCTCACAGACTCGTACTCATGGGGTACTTCCGTCCCCTCCAGAAGGATCCGGAACGTCTTCCAGGATCCCAGGTTGGCAGCCCTCACAGCGCGTCCGCCTAGACCGTCTGCCGACCTACTCAGAATTGGGCTCCCCGAATTGCAAACAAACAAAGAGACACCAGGCACTCACCGGCCAGCGTTGGCCCTCCAGTACGGGGATCCTGGAGTCTTGGGGATCCCGGATGAGCCCCCAAATGTTGTACCCAGATCACGAGGTCCCCAAAGACCACCAAGGAGCCAATTCCGATGCAAACACACAAGGGTTGTTTATTCAAGCTCGAGCAGGGACTCTCATCCAACACCAATGCAGCGGGTCAGGATTGAGAGCCCTGACTCTAAAACACCAGGGGTTTTTATAGAGGTTACAGCAAGGCATGGGGTTTCCAAAAAGGTGCAGGGTTTCAAATCACACGCAAATCACACGATTGGCTAGCATTTAGCAAGTTTTGAAAGTTTCAACTTGATTGGCTGTGCCTTGCATGCTAAACTGCAAATGGTTGCTCAAGTCATCGAAAAGAACATCTGGGATACTGGGGTATTGGGGTAACTACTGATTAGCTGTTGCAAGCCATCGAGAAGAGCATCTGGGACATTGGGGCAGCTACTGATTAGCTGTTGCTAGGCGAGTTGCTAGGGGACTGCTGAACATTATCACAGGCAGGTGGCCAAAGTATATCTTGTGGTTTTTCTTGGCACTAGAGTTTATGTCCAGGCCACCTCACTCTAAGATGGGGCCAAATTTTAAAATGGAGTCACTCAGGCCTCACAAATGGAATCTGGGACTGCAACCTTTCACACTGAAAAATCTGTTCTCAGTCTCTTTTCACAGAGAATGACCAATGCTGTGTTCTTCAACACATTTAAATTGAATTTGCTGAGTCACAGTGAACCAACAGATAAATTATATTTGAGCAGTTATGTAAATGAGATATGCTTCCATAGATATGCATAAGCAAACTGTGGTGCAACTAAAGAATAGAAGAGTAATTCAATGAAGGAAGAAATATACTATCAAGCCAGAAAAAAAAGAGGACCCTAAATGCATACTGTTAAGTGAAAGAAGTCAATCTGCAAAGGCTCCATATTGTATGGTTTTAACTATGAAGACTAAGATCAGTGATTGTCAGGGGCTGGGGCAAGGAGGAGGAGTGATGAATATGTGGAGTACAGGCAGTTTTCCAGGGCAACAACACAATTCTGTTTGATACTATAGTGATGGATATGTGTCACTAGACATTTGTCAAAACCAATAGACTATACAGTGGAGAACATGAGCCTCAGTGGACTTCAGTTAATAATACCGTAATAAGATTTTTTTTTGTAAACCTAAAAATGCTCGTAAGTATAAACTGAATTTTTTTTTAATAAGGAAAGAAGCAGGCTAAGAAATTGTAGTCCTAGTACTTGAAAGGTTGTGGTGGCCAGATTACTTAAGGCCTTGAGTTTGGGACAAGCCTAGACCACGTCATGAGATCCTGTGTAAAGGAAAAGGAAAAAGCAGATTTGATCAAAACAAAACAAAACAAAAACGAGGCTGGGCATTGTGGTGTATGCCTGTATTCCCAGCACTCTGGAAGGCTGAGGCAGAAGAATCCCAAGTGTGAAGGCAGCTTGGGCAGTTTAGTAATTTAGCAAGACCCACTCTCAATATTAAAAAAGGCCTGGTGATGTAGCTCATGTGAAGGGCCTGGTTCAGTCCCCACCACTGAAACAAAAATCATGTGGAGAAGGGCCCAGACCAAGGTTGTGGATGCCACTGGGAGGGCATCTGGTTGTTTGTTTAGACTAAACAGTCCTACAAAGCCCTCTTGGTGCTTGATCATGTTTCCTGTTGTGGTTTATATGTAGATGTCCTCTGAAACCCTCAAATGCTCTATAGTGGGGCATTTAGGAGAACATTGGATCATAGGAGTGTGATTTTCATCAGGGGATTAGTCCACAGATGAGTTGATAGCTAAATGTGATGCTGGGAGGTGAACTTGTTTGGAAGGAGGTGGGTCACTGGACAGATGGTGTGAAAGGGTGTATCTCTGTCCCTCCTCCCTTGATCCCTCTCTGCTTCCTGCCACCACACCATGAGCTATTTCTCCTGTCTCTCCTCTGCTCTCTCTGCCCTGCTATGGACTGAAACCTCTACAAATTTTGAGCCAAAATAAACTTTTCTGCCTTGATTTTGTAGGTGATGGGTATTGTGTCTCAGCAACTTGAAAGTAACTAAAAGAATAACTTAAAATAGTTTGTGGTGAAAAAAGTCTGGCGTGTTCTTCTGTACTTCCATTTTATGAATGACTTCAGCTGATTCAGATGCCTGTAGTTGTTAGTGCTATGACTTTTACACTATTAGAGCAATTCGAAATTTGCAAATTAAAATACTTGCACTTTCCCCCTACTTATTAGATTATTATATGAAGCTAAGTTGGATAGAAATTAATATACAGCCAGAGAAGAATGGGGACCTCAAGGAAAGACATCAAAATTGTGACTGGAGGCAGATCTGAAGACAATCAGGCCCCAGTTCTTTCCAAGTATCTTTACTATGTGACTCATTTCACTACTGATCAATATTAGCTAAGCAACTGTAATTATAATCCTGTAGGTTAATTGTAGTCTTACCCACATTGTACTCACATTGTGATTTTGCTGTTCAAATTATCCCCGACACAGGGTGTCAGTGTCCACAGACTCAGGACGCCTCCTGGAAATCCAGGTGTTCTTCTTCCCCATATTCTCAATAAAACTCATCTATTTAACTTTTCCCTTTTTTTGGTGACTTCATTCCTCAATGTTGTGAGACCAGGAACTCTTCACGTTTGACATCTAACAGGCCAGGAGTTTTTCTATATCAAGAGCAGCAAATAAATTGATAAAATCTGGGAAAATTGTCAAAACCTAAATGAAGTCACTTATGCTCTCACAAAATAATAATCAATAATGCTGAAGCTTATGAAAGTGAATTATGAAACTCATAAAGAGAGTTTATGCAGTTGTGCCTGATAACAAAGAACAAGTCATGGAAGACTTCCAGAAAAACAGCCTTGCACAAAAGGCTGCAAAACCTAGAAATAAAAATATTTCAGCAAGTACATCTGCCCAACTCATGTCAATTTAATCTCTAACTCATGTCTTTGTATTATTGTTTCTTGTAGCCAAGGATTATTGTCTCAATAATTTACATCATCCTCTTTGTTTTGCCTTAGGAAATTTTATCCTAAATTTCCTTAATCTCCTCAATACTCAAAGTTCACTATAGTATGCAGATTCTCAGTGCAATGTCTATTCCTAAACAGCTTAATCTTTGCAGAATATCAATCTGTATGTTATTTTGATGGTCAAACTCACAGTTGACACTCATAATGTAATCCATACATTTTCAGCAGTAAGAATGTGTATTAGGTTGTGATCTGTAACAATGTACTTATGGCAATCAGTCTCACAAAAGACGACTGGATAAACTTCCTGTTCTAGTGTGAACCCTGAGCTCTGGCTCCACCCCGAGAAGCCTAGTCAGCCTTATCAACAGGACCTGCCAGCTTCCTGATCCAGCTCATAAGACAATTCTCTGCTTTCTCAGAACGTTTCTGCACCAACTATGGCAACTTTTGTGGAGCTCAGCACGAAAGCCACGATGCCCATTGTGGGCCTGGGGACCTGGAAGGTAAATATGCAAATCTTGGGGAACCTGGTTCCTTAGAGGGCCTTTGGGGTGCTTTCTCCTCTGTGCATTCAGTTACACTCGGGTGTCTGAGAGGTGCACTTCAGCCTCACAGCCAGCACCTCAGGTGCTTTCTTTTCTTAGGGCTGATTCAGGCTGTAAATCACCAAGACTGGCTTTTCTTAGTGCTGATGAGTTTCCCTGGCAAGTATCAAGTTTAGGCAGGTGTTGAAAACAAATTTATTTTCAGGGAAGGTACTATTTTAACACTCTTTTTTTCTCTAAAACACTGGCTGATATTGGAGAACGTCTGGGGCTGGACACTTTACAGTTCTTGGCCAAGGGTTTGCTGCTAGTAGAGTGACCGAGAAGGAACACAGACCTCCAAAGGCCCTGGCATCTCTTACTGCTTATGTGATGAGACATGGGCCAGCAGCTACTATGGCCTGTTTGCTTGCTAGAAATGAAGACTCTCAGGACCATCTTATGTTACTAGATCAGTGTCTGCAGTTAACCAATAACCCCACATGGTTTTTAAAGTCTGAGAAGTGCTGGGACCACAGAGAGCCTGCCTGGGAGTCAGGAGCTCAGCTTCAGCCCTGGCAGTGATAAAGTGAGCCTGAAAAATGCCCTAAGGCATACCCCAGCACCCTGTGAAGAGAATTCATGGTTCTCCATGATAGCATCAACCAAGTTAGTTTCCAGCAACCATCTTTAGATCTTGTCTTCTCTCCTGTCCTTTGGATCTCTTCTCTCTGTGGTGTCTTCATCCTCTGGCTCTCTTTCCTTCTTTGTATCCTCTTCTCCTTCTTCTCTTGTGGAAGGGTGAGATTGTTACTGGGTTCTGGGGTACTGGAATCTCCTTCTAGAGGTGCTTTCTAGGTTCTTTGCTGAACAAGAATTGGTCAAGACAAGCAAAAAAGATAGTGAGGTTTTGCATTTATTCAAAGTATTAAAAGTAGAAAAAGAAATATACCCTCAGAGTGAGTGTATGCCAGTTCAAAGTAGGAAAAGAATTACATCTTTCAAAGTGCAGGATGGGCCACTGAAAGAGGTGACAGTAGTCACCGGCTTAATGGCAGCTGTCTTTTGTATCTCCCACTCCTCAGGCTTATGTCAGATGTAGGCTGTCCTATCAATGATCTGATTGAGTTCTCGGGAGAATTTAGGATAGGACTTTCTGATTGGTTCCAGGAACAGTGCTGGCCCTTATCTCCTTGATCGCCACAATTAACAGGTCACACCCATGTGTCCAGCCCTCCTGCTTCTGAATCCCTCTTCATTTCAGCACTGGGTTTATTGACTCTCAGGATACATTCTTGGTTAAGTTGGTTGAGCAGATTGATGCCAGACTAATTCAGTCTCATCTTTTTTGCATGAACTGCAAGTAGTACCTCAAATCAAAATTTGAACCTGTCTTTGTTACTTTTCTCTCTTTGCTGAGACAAAATGCCTGGCACCCAAATTAAAAGGGTAAACATTTTATTTAGCTTATAGTTTGTAGAGCTTTCAGTTTATAAGAGCTTGCTCCAAGGCAGGGTGGCTTGGCATAGGGACATCACAGAGGAGAAATCGTTCATGGCTTCTACAAGGTAGCAAAAGCAGCAAGGGAACTTGACAGCATCTTCCTGCCACTTTTATCTTATTCAGACTACTTAGGGGAGGTAGTACTCACACCCTTAATCCTAGTGCCCTCGGGCCTAATATTGCACCATGAATCAATCAGATACTCTATCTAAATCCAGCCACCTCTGAAAAAGCCCCACCTAAGACTACATGAGGCTTTGAGGGGACATCTAAACACAAGCTATAATATAACCTTATACACAATTGATAATAATTTTCAAATATCCAGTAAATCTCATCATCCTGGATACATTTACTAAAAACTTATTTTTGGAATTTCAAAAGTACTTATAAAGGTTATGAGATGAGCTGTTTTGAAGTCATGGGAATGATACACTTTAAAGGATTGTGTACCTATTGGTGGAGGTAAAGGAGGTTGTTGTGGTTTGGAAAGGTGTCATGGGTGCATCAGGATTACTGGTATCAATTCCTTATCTCAGTGCTTGTAGAGTTTTATCTACTTTTCAGTGTTTGGTACTTGCAACTGAAGAAGTTTTAGATCTCTGAGAGATCATTTTTAAAAGTTTTTCTCCCTTATTGTTAGACATGGGTAAGTTAGACAAAAATGTATTTGTTTTCTTTTCCTCTTTCTTGAGGATGGAAAACCAGGTGCATTCTTATAAGCTTTTCTATATCCTTTTTTGGGAAGCGGTAATTATGTAATGGCTCACATCTACTGGGTTTTACAGGTTGTCAGGTGATATGCTAAAAAGTTTATATTCCTGGTGGCAAGTAATCAACACAAGAATTTCATGAAGCTAGGGCTCTGTGGTTCCCATTTTGGAGCCAGGCTTTAGAGAAATGGAGGAGTCTTCTCATATCTGTGTATCTAATATGTGATGGAGTATGGATTCATCCTGTAAAACTCATTTACTGCATCCTCATCACCACCTGGGAATTGAAATTCTTCTAGGACTCCTCAGAATCTATTTTCAGCTGATATTTACCAATTGCAGTGGGATTAACCTGTCAATCCCAGCCAATTGCACATACTTCAGGATTAGCCTGGATTAAAGTGGAATTGATTTTAGCTAGAATCAGTTGTCAAGTCATACACATTAAATCAATTCATCTTTTTTTAATTCATTTGAAACACCTTCTGAAGTGTTTGCCTCCCAGCTGGCCCTGGTCAAATGGGACCCCAGAGAACCTCAGTTTGGAAAAGTTGGGCCATGGACAGCTGGTGGAGGAGGTCCTGGGATAAGAAGGCCTGAGGAATTTTTGTTGCCTATCAGTCTTCCCCAGGCAAAGTCAAAGAAGCTGTGAAAGCAGCCATCGATGCAGGATATCGCCACATCGACTGTGCCTTTATCTATCAGAATGAGAATGAGGTGGGAGAAGCCATCCAAGAGAAGATCCAAGAGAAGGCCGTGAGGCGGGAGGACCTCTTCATTGTTAGCAAGGTACATGCAGCCCTGTACTTTGGGGGGATTCCTCGACATGATCTATAACACATCAGCCTTTTCTATAAGTCTACATCTCTATCTCTCCATTTATTACATCCCTAGACACAAACATTCATATTCCAATCAGTTATTGGTATGTGGAGGAAGCTGCTGCTGCCATACCCCCTCCCAGAACTTGGTTTGCCATATGGAGATGGTTCCATTGAGCCTCTGGTACCCTGGCCTCCCACTTTCCTCTCAGTGCCATCCGTTTGCCTAGGGACATCAGGGGATAGAGTCAGGGACTGGTCCTGTAGCCCACAGCCAACCTTCAGAACTGCAGTCTCAGAGACCGTGGCCCTGAGTTTGTTAGCCAGAGGGGTTTTAGGGAAATTGTTGGGATATTTTTTTATTGTCATGAATAAACTTTTAAAAATTTATGTTCAGTAAATGAGTAATGATAAAATGAGCTTAAAAAAGGGAGGTAAAACTGTATGAGTGGTGTGAGAATCACTGGATCCATATTACTACATAATATACCAAAAATACTAAAAATTCCATTTACTTGAAAAGTGCACCTTGTGGGAGAAGTAGACCCACTGTGTGCAAAGGCTGACTCTAGATGAACTCCTTGTAAAATCATCATTGGGGCCTGGTAGGCTTGGGCAACAGGAATATAGAAAAAGATCATCTGCTCCCAAAGGGTTAAGAAAGCTTAAAATTTCAAAGTTACACATAATTTCTACCCTCAGAGGCCAGGCAGCCAATGAAGGGAATAGCAGAGGTACACAAATATTTAATCAGTGGCCCCATGTACTAAATGATCTAGGTGGCACACAGAATGCTCACAGCTATGAAAAACTAAATTTCCCTCAACACCTAAGAAATGTCATTGTCATGCTCAGCCTTGATGACCACACACTGAAACATGCACCTTAATCAACTTTGGTGTACATGGCCTATCAGGTTACATCACTGTGCAAACCTCAAAGCAGGGGACAAGAGTATGGTGTGGCTCTTTCTCTGATCCTAACTCCTGTTTCTTGCATTCTGCAGTTGTGGTGCACATTCTTTGAGAAAAGCCTAGTGAAGGAGGCCTGTCGGAAAACCCTGAAGGACTTGAAACTGGACTACCTGGACATCTACCTCATTCACTGTCCACAGGGGCTTCAGGTTTGAGTTACTCCCTGGCCCAATCTCAAGATACTGAGTAGAGAGATGGCAGAAAAGAGCAGCTGCATTAGGACTGGGTGTGCCAGTGGGTCACACAAGAGCTCTTGTGCAGCGTGGAAGGTAGACTGTGCTCACGGACATGGCCACATACTTAGGGTTTCTTTCAGTTATGCCTGAGAGAAACTATAATTTTTGGTAGTGCAGACAACCTGGTACTACTGCATCACCTTTGTCTTGATTTATTGCCTAGGAGAACTCAGGATACTGTTGCATAACATTTTGCAGGGCTCTATTCTCCTGTTAACTGGAGCACACCTGGGAATGGGACCCTGGAGAGAAACCCTAATATGGTGGTGCTTAAGGGTCACCAGTCCTCAATAATGACACCAACTCATTGCCTAAGGGTCTGCTCCTGCCTTATCCTGATAGCAGTAGTATATGAGGTTAATAGTGATAATGAAGGCTTTTAGAATATACTGCAAATGAGCTTTAAAATCATTACCAAAAAATTCCAAAATATAAGAGCTTACATATGAAGATATATTGACTTAGAGATTTTACTGAAGCTTACTGTCTTGAAGTATGTTCTTCGGAGCTTGAGAGAACGGTTTGTCACTGAATATTTAGCATGAGTCAGGATCCCCAAACCTTGTTTAACAAGACCAGTATCTAGATACAGATTCCAACAAGCTTTGTTCTGCCTTTACAGGCTGGAAAGGACTTCTTCCCCAAAGATGATAGAGGCAGTACCATCCCCAGTAAAGCGACGTTCTTGGATACATGGGAGGTAGGTTCAGCTTCTTCTAAATGTGCTTGGAAAGAATTTTTCCTTCAGTCACCCTGGAGACTGTCCTGGTATAGAAGAGCCCATATGCCTTGAGTCTGATTTCATCACTGTTATTCTGCAGTTCTTCTGTTTCCTTCCTCATGACCAGTGGGTTTGAGGTTCACCTGACTCTATTTACATTCTGAAGGCTAAGACTGAGTTCTCAAATGACATGGAAATATCACACATGTCAATCTGTGGAACATACATAGTGTTTCAAAGCTGTGAGAGTGGTATTTAGAACGAGTTTAACCTGTTTGTGAATATTAGTTGGGTAATCTAAGGTAATTATTTTAAGTTTTGTAAGTCTTTGTTTCCTATTTTAAAAGTATTTTCAATACATATGCAGTGTAATGGAAATATACAGTGAATGTTTGAATTAAAAACTTTATTTCAGTAAGAGAGAATTGGCAGCCGGGGATTTAGCTCAGTGGTTTCGGCACCTGCTGCGCAAG